GAAAATGTTCTTGATCATTATCCGGTAGCGGTGTGTTTATTCTTTAAAATCTGTAGTGAAAATGAAACGTGGCCGCTTTTGGTACGTACTGGCCGCTTTCGAACTGCTATTCCGCCGCGAGCTTCGTTTGGGACTGCTGTGTGGCACGCCCCGATACGCATTCGCTTCCCGCAGGTCCGCCCCCGGACCGCTTTTCTCGCTGTACCGCCTCTGTGTGGCCTGAGCTTAAGGAATGTAAAGCAACGTACTACTACGTCGTATAATTTCTTTTATTTCGTCGAAGAACGTAAGTGAACGCTATTTGGCTATACAAAATCTTAATAATATAATAATATAATAAATCATTTATTTGGACATTTATGGCCCACTTGTTAGTAATACAAAAAGATACAGAACATTTAAACTTAAAGCTATTGTTAGTAGGTACAATTTACGGGACAATACATTGACAAACACAAGAACACGTACATGCAACTTACCGCTCGAGGCGCCGATAACCTCATGATCTCACCAGAACCTGGAAAAAATGTTGAAGCATCGGCGCATCAAGCTTAGCCGCAAACATTTTCAGAATGCTGTTAGGACTAGAACGCAGCCTCGAGAGTAGTGACGCCTTTTTGTTTCGCATCACAGCAAAAAAGTCGTCTACTCCCGCTAGAGCAAACATCGAGGATGCGCTACAATGCCGTGGTAGTCCCATCAGCATTCTGAAACCGTTATTATATTGAACACGCAGGGCGCTGAGTGCCTTCTGCGTATAGTTCACCCACAGACCACCCGTGTAGAAGGATTGACAGTAAACCTTGAATAATGTAATTTTGGCTTCCTCACTACAACTGGCAAATCTGTGTGCCAACATGTTACATCTGGCAGCCAACGCCCTACGTTCTCGATCAATATCAATTTGATCTTTGAGATCACCCGTCAGGTAATGTCCTAGATATTTAAATTTATCTACCCTTTTCAGGGGCAACCCGTTCAGACTTATCTTTGGTTCGTAGGACATTCCCTTACCAGGGACCCCAAAGATCAAGAACTTTACGTACTTTAGTTTCACCACTGGCCACAGCTGACGCTTGGGACAAAATTGTCACTATGCTTTTATAAAGCTCATCCAGCACCTGCTTATGCGCCTGTTCACAGCACCTACCTGCATCACAGGTAGTGAAAGAATCTGGATATTGGACCTCTTTCAAATTCTTATTACATAATTCATGATATCTATTGATCTGATCATTTGATCTATGACCCCAAAGCACCATGTTACGCGTTACATTTGTCAATTCCAGCTTTTGTGGTATTATGTTTAAATTACATTCCACTATTAGAGGCCTATGATCAGACCAATAGACACCATAAGCCACGCTTACATTGGTAATAGTACTCCACGTCGTTTGCGTTACCAAGCAGTGATCCAACCAACTCAAACTACCATTCTGTTTACTTTCAAAAGTGTGAGTGTCAGAATTTATTTTTAATATTGTAGTGTCTGCGCAAACCCACGATAACTCCACACAAAAATTACTGAGTTCGTTCCAAAACAAGGTGCCTGGATGCGCGTTATAATCGCCCAGCATATAAAAAGCCTCTACGTCATTGTTTTCAGCTAATGCACCTAGTTCGCTCAAACAATTCGTGAACTCGGAAAGGTTTCTACTCTTATCAGTAGGCATATACACACTACATATAATAATACATGTATCATTTGACAAAGTTGCTCTTAAAGCCGTCAAGCGATCACTGGTACAACTTAATACGGAAATAGACTTGAAAGTGCCTTTTTTCCAGAGGATAGCCACACCTCCGTAAGACCGTCCTACTAGCGGGCCCTCAGACAGATCGACCGCTGACTTACCCGTGTACTCAAAATCGTTACTAATAGTACTGAGTAAAGGTATATCATACGGAAGTAGCCAGGTTTCCTGAAGCGCGACCACATCCGCGTTTTTGCATATTTCCCTAATATCCCCCAGGGACCTCTTGACGCCTTGACAATTAAACGACACAAACCGAGCCTTGTATTGTGAGCTTATACTACTACTAATTGTATCACTATCCATTAATATTGGCTTTTTTACTCGTTAACGTGGACAAATTATCCTGTCTTTTAAAAATTACAAACTTCCTAAAACATATCGCACCCTTAGTAATATAAGGGCACAATCCAAAAAAAGTAGATTTTTGGGAAATCGCGTATAGATTCTGGATTCCTACATTACACCTATTTTTTCAAATAACATGCTTATTATTTAAGTTATAAATATGGAATTTGGCAGATTTGTTCTTTGATAAATGTATTATAAATAGCAATAAAAAAAAATAATATAAATAAATTCCATAAGTTTCAAGCAAGTTAAAAAAACACTTTCAAGTTAGACCCATATAGTACAAAAAATATAACAGAAATATGGAGCTATATAAGTTTGATCCCATTTATTATTTAAGTCCCTATCAATTCCCAAATTTCCCAAAAATCTACTTTTTTTGGATTGTGCCCTTATATTACTAAGGGTGCGATATTCCCTCGGGCCATATATTGTCACTTAAAAACATACGCAACTTACATATGTTTGGGCACCAACAATTTAAAACAATTATAGTCCCGTTTACGTTTAAATGTAAGTTTTTGTAGCACAACTATTTCACTCGTTTTAAGCCGTATATATTCCACTATATCAGCCTCACTTGTGTCTTTAGATACATTCGAAATAAACAGCGGCATTTCCGCGCGAGGAGCCGCTTTAAACTTACAGCTGGGCTCATTATTGGCTTTTCCCATTGAACTCATAAATCTGGATCCAAACGATTTCTTTTTACGCACGACAGTAGTCCATTCATTATCTTTATCCCCTACCTCATGTTCTCGATCCGCAGTGTTGAATGTTTTATCCGACCGCTTGCAGTCATTTTGTGATTCATCAGTGAGTATAGAACTCGTAGTAGCGGTCCGTACTACACAGCCGTTCTCGACCGGTTTCTTGCCGCTCGCTCTCTCGACGGGCCTTCTCTCACTTGACTCGCTACTTAGTTGCACTGCACAGGCGGTTTTTGCACCAATCCACTTTCTGCCATCCCAATAGTGGCGGTGGTGGAGAGGGGTCTGTGTTCGCGCTCGCTATTTACTTGTTTTTGTAAACTATTATCTACAGCGCGGCATGTCTCTAAAGGCGAGTTTCGCTCCGAAGAATGCGTCAGCTGATGTGGGTATGTTGCGCTTGTGTTTACAACGGTCTCCGGTTTATTTAACTGAAATTGTTCATTTAAATCAGAGAAATGCTCAAGCCCCATAGGCCCACTATCACAATTAAAATCGAAATCACGACCAATGGGTGTACAGGCATCCCGTTTTCTAGTATTTACATATGTCCTAGATTCAAGCGAAGGACGGCGTAATTCCAACCTCGATGATTCTACCAATTCATTCAAATGTTCTCGAGTAACAAATTTACTGTACATACCTTGAATTTCCTTTTGTAGTAGCTGAATATCTCGTAACAGTCTTGTAACATCCAAGTGATCAAAGGTCACCGGGGGCAATCGATGTGAATCTTTAGCTACGAAGATCGGAATTTTTTCAGGATCTGTCGCATCAGCCTTTTTATACAGGGCAAAAATATCACGTAAATCGTTATTAGACTTGTCAGTTCTCCTTTTCTTCATTTGCGTCGATTGTAACGATTCAAAAAGCAGTTTCTTAGCAATAAATATTTCTTCTTCCGAAAACGAAGTCTCACATAATCTGGCTAAAGTGTCCTCGTCCATAATTGAAATTTTATTTTGCACAAACGCAAGCACTTCATTTATCACTATATTACATAAATTACACTTCACAATATTTGAACTATTTGAAGTCACAATTCTCGTTTATGTTCGTGTATTATACGCATTACCCATCAGCAGAAAAGAATAAAAGCTAATTGTATAATTTGACACTTTTAAACGGTATTTTAGTAGCAGTAGAGTTCCTTGCGAAAGAGTTCATCCAGTGTTAATAGTGACGTCATTGCTCTACAACATTTATCAAAATATTGAGTCTCTAGGTAGTATCGAGTGTAATGTAGTTCGTAGGGGAAGTCAGCTCAAAGCGGCCAAAGCAAGCAAAGCAGCTGTGCTCGATTGCTCAGTCATTTCAAATGTTATAGATTCCTTTATACAAGGCTGCATAGCCTACTACCCCGCCCTCCCCAGGGCAGTCGCTTGGCACCTGTAGGAACTCGCGCGCACACACTTGTGCCGAAAATCTTAATTAGTCCGTTTTGAAAAATAATGGGACGTAAGTTCATTTAGTTAGTTAGTAAACCTCACTTTCTTTGTATATTATTGCTACGAATATATTGTTTTACATCTATCTGGTAGTGTTTTTGTAATATTTGTTAGAAGGTATAGATACATTAATAGGTTTCAATTTTGTTTTAAAATAAAATCGTGAAGAAGGCAAAGTGACTCGTATAGAGCGGTTACCTAGCCGCTATATGAGTATGAAATGTATAAATAGCAAAGTTGTTTCTTGTAAATAGCGAAGAATTGTAAACGAAAGACAACACAGGCATCGTGAAACGAGGTGTCAATGGCGTGTGCTATAAAAGAATTCAAAGAAAATAAGGCTTCTAAAAATCCACAAAAGCAGCAAACCTTGTTTTATATATTCTGTTGATGTTTTTGTACGAGTACATTTTTTGTTGATAAATAGATATCCAAATTATTTATTACGAACGGTATTTTACCGTCTCTCCGCGATATGCCTACATACCACTTTCACGTTACAAAATTACATTAAATACTTCGTCAATTAGTGTCAAGGTCGTAACTAATATCTATTATCTTACTAGTTTGAATTTAGCTTAAAGTTAAGGTAACCGGTTTGAACTGACTTCCCCAATTACTTTTGTGAATTTCATTTTTGACGTATGATCACAACATGTGAATTTATTATACCAATGTACGAGATGCTGGCTTACATTTATTTCTCAAATTATAGGGATACCTGTCTAACCAACCATATCCAGTGAACGAAGTGAACTCGGCTGGACCATATCCAAATTACCCACAGTATCCAGCATACTCTGTCGCACCTCCTGGGTACCCAGTGTACGGGCCGCAAACCCGCATTAGGCGAGATAACAACACACAGACCAATTTATTCCGAGATCCATATACACGCAGAGCGTTCATTATGAAAGTAATTAAACTAAATCTGTTATAGTTTTAATTATTAATACAAAGATCGAACACTCAGAAAAAATTTCTACTATCCGCCCGGATTCGAACCGACGTCTTCTATCATACCGTGCAGTGCAGTGCTGTTATAGTTTCTTCACTCATCTTCACTCGCTGTGACAACAACCACAAATAAAACAACTGCTAGTAGTATTATGTTTAATTTTTTAAAGTCAAAATATGTCTCAAAACTTATGAACACACGAGAATTGTAGGGATTAGAGAGTTTACGATGAGTACATCAGCACTGACAAAAACCCTGTTTTTTTTTTCAATGCCTAAAAAAACAAAAGCGGTGACTTTTCCTTCCTTCCCGCCTCATTTTGTGTCATACACAACACTCTTAAACATATATTGTTACCGTCAATTAAGCACATTATGATACCATTACTCTCATCTTGTATACCTACTTGTGTTCTTATAAAGGACACTTGTGTAATGTATTTACAAATAACACTGTTTTATACAAAACTATCTTGCTGTACGTTTCATTCAGTGACTTATCTATCAATTTGTGCAAAAATATCACACCTACGTACTACCTCTACAAGACTGTTGTATCACTCTACAATCATTACTACGACTAAAACTGGTCCAGTTAATGTTCGATTGGAAATTGAAACTTCTCAAGATATTCCAAGTAATTAATACGAGTACTTACTGTATAATTAATTATTAATGATCGCCTTGTGGAATATAAAGTAATACTTTGAGTGCTGTGCGCAAGTTGTCGTGATATTTTTAGTTTGAATAATAACTTAATATGAATACTATTGTGGATGTTCAGGGTTTTAAAATTACAAATAACAAGTTTATTGTGAAAGAAATTGCTGTTACACGCGGTAATCAGGTGCATTTCTTTTTAATTAAAGCTCCATTTATTTTTTCCAACCTGATACTTCAGAATAGCGAGAAGTGGCAACGTACAGACGACTTAACTACTTCACGAGGCTTCGAAGACTCAGCTACAAATTCAATTTACAATAATATCAGCGATATGGTGGAGTGCACGATCTGCAACATCTTAGTGAAAAATTTCATTTTAATGTAACACACATAAATATAATCCATTTCGAATACATCACACTTTGCCAAACGTTACTTTGATTGAAACTGCATTTGGATAAAGAATTTACACATATAGAATCACGGCTTTAGCTGATCAAAATAAACTTGAGACGGTAGAAACATTTTGTCGACCCCCTAAAAGATGATATAACATCTTTAATTCGTGACAGTGTCATGCATATCAAAACCTTTAAAATCAATTTTATTTTAAAAGCGAACTTTGTTCAAGCTTCAAAAGAATTGTTAAATGTTTTCGATTTTCAAACACAAAATTATATAATGAATGAATCTGATAACATTAGTCTGTTTCTCGAAAATTTAAAGGAAACTTTAATTCTGAGAGTAAGTGAATTTGAGAGAAAAGATAGTGGGTGGAGTATTAAGGACATTATTAGTTTAGATATAAATATTAACAAATTTAATCCGCTTCACGGATCATCTTTTATAGAATTAGGACATGATATAAGGTCAAACAAAGCTGTAATCAATGTAAAAAATGCAGATAACCAATGTTTAAAATGGGCTTTACCTCGGCGTATATGTAACTGCCTAAATTCAACATGAATATAAAATAAAATGTAATGGAGTATCATTTCCAGCAAAGTTGACAGATATCATGGAGTATCATTTCCAGCAAAGTTGAAAGATATCAAGAAAGTAGAGTAAATAAATAATTTAAGTATAAACGTTTTTGGTTTAGAATACAATTCTGAGACTAAGGGCACGTTCAAATTAGCCGCTGTTAGCCACGCTGCAGCAGCACCGCGCTATTGTCACTTTTCATACAATTTCTAGTGCTGCAACCGCGCGACAGTCTCGCTGCAATCACGCTGCAGTCACGCTGCGGTCACGCTCGGTTGCAGTCACGGTTAGTGCGGTGTACATGTTCATTTTTCAAATTAACTACGGTGGACCAAAATCGAGTTGAAGAATTTATAGAGAACGCAAAACAACGCCCTGCAATACGGGCTATGAGTTCCGCCAGTTATTCTAATCGACTCGAAAAAAAAGACATATGAAAATTTATGTCTATGTATGTATATCATTATCGACAATTTTGAAACTAAAACTGAAAAAAAATCTGAAAAAAAACAAGCAGGTGAGTCGTTTTTAACACCTATATGAGAAGTGTGTGCCCCAAAAACTGGGTAAAAGTTACATTTCTTCGTCAGAATTCGTGTAACTGAGTCGAAAGATAAAACATCACTAAAAATTTGGTCGCACTTCAGCAGCGCGACGATTGCACGGCCGCCGCGCGGTTGCAGCGCGACTGTTGCGCGGCTGCAGCACTGCTACAGCACGTCTAACAGCGGCTAATTTGAATGCGCCCAAAGCTCATGTTGTGATTAGACCATTATATTTTACAAAGGGCCCTAAATCCATTCAGATCAATTTATTTATATTACTAATGGGGGTAATGTACACATTTGCCAAATAAAAAATTTGTATCGATTGGAAACCAGACAGGTCACATCACGAAGTGGTGCAATCCATATTTGTGATGGTTGTTTGTTATATTTTCCAATAAATGCAGCACTTTGTGGACATAAAACAAATGATTATACCCATATTCGTACTACAGCGGCGAAAATTGTGCTAATACTTTTATGAATAGACTATATGAAAGTCTTAAAGTTATTTGTAGAACAGTTTTCAAACGTGTCCTCTCCACTTACAGACACAGACAAAAAATCTATACAAGAAGCTACTGTATGTCATAAATGTGAGAAAGATATGTCTTACTATTCTGATCTTTATCTCAAAACAGATGTGTTGCTTTTAAGTGACATAATTGTAAATTTTCCGAAATGTCTGTTTAACAACGTATCATTTGGATCCTGCGCATTATTATACTGCTCGAGGATTGAGCAGAGATACTATGCTTAAGTTTACTCAAATAGAATTGGAGTTATTAAACGACTTTGATATGATAGCTTTTATAAAATCTGGTATAAGAGGTGGTGTGGCACAGTGTAGTAATCGCTATGCAAAAGCCATAATCCTTAAATGGAGGATTTCAAAACTGAGGAACCTATTTCGTATTTAGCCTATTTTGATGCTAATAATTTATATGGGTGGGCGATGTCTTAATATTTACCTCTATGTGATGATTTTCAATGGGAAAACTGATGTGAATTTTAATGTACCAACTACTTCAGATGTTGGATATAGATTAGAAGTACACCTTGATTATCCCGATAATCTACACGACTCTCATTCTGACTTTGCATTACATTCTGAAAATATTCCAGTTGGTGAAACTAAACAATGTAAGTTAGTTCCTAACTTGAATGATAAAAAGAAGTATATACTACGTCATATAATACATTACAGAAATCTTTTATAATGAGTACTTAAAGATGGAATTGAAACTTAGCAAAGTACACAGAATTTTGAAATTCAAATAATGTCCCCGGTTAAAGAAGTATATTGAATTAAATACTTCTATGCGGACATTAGCTACCTTCGATTTTGCAAAAGGTTTCTACAAATTAATGAATAATTCTATTTTCGGTAAAACTATGGAGAATATTGATTATTAAGGGTTAATGTTAAACTTTAGCAGTTTCACTGGAATGATCGAGGTAAAATCAAAGGTGTTTATTTGAACAAAACTAAACTGTTCTACAATAAACCTATTTATTTGGGTTTTAGTATATTAGATATATCTAAAACTTATGATTATGAAACTACTTATTATTATTAAACGTATGATTTCCATTGACATTATATTATTGAATTTACGCTATATTGTTTTACAAACATATTTTATTGTAACAACATGAATTTTTATGTTAAATAAGTTAAATTTGTCATTAACTAATAATGGAAATTAGAATAAATTAAAACATATTATTTAGTACTGCAGTCTTTTGTCGGTTTTGGATTTTTTCATCAGAGGGAATACTGGATCCCAAACTGGTGGTACGGAGAAACCGTCCTCCCTGTTGAAATTAAGATATTTTTTAATTTCAATTACCTCACTCAGCATCCTGGGTAGGTAACAGACTTCTTTTGCAAGGACCTGGGGTTTGTAAAACTTCAATGAGTGTTTAGGTTTATCCATGTCAAGCTCGCAGACTGCAGACTTGTTTACGCGAAGGTGTTTGATATCAGCTATATGTTCTTTGACGCGGGTACAAATACTTCGCTTCGTTCGTCCAATATAAGAGAGACCGCACTCACAGTCAAGCTTGTAAAGTCCTGCATCCTGTATGGGGATGTTACATTTCACGGGTCTCAGGAACAGAGAAATTTTCCTCAGGGGTTTAAAATAGGTCTTGATCGATGCACGCCTGAGGACTCTTCCGATCTTGCCTGTAACACCTCTTCACGTAAGGTAAAATGGAAGGTCTTCCCTCGACTTTTGGTGATTTCACACGGTGCCTGCGGCAGTGGTGTGGAATGTTCAACTTATTCGCATGTAGGACTTGATTTATAAGCTGAAGTTCCCCTGCCAGATGATTACTGTCGCAGACACCATGTGCTCTCTGAAACAAAGATTTGCCTACGGTAGCTACCTGGCTAGGATGGTTATGGGAATTACCATTGAGGTTCGTATCCGTTACTTTAGTTTTCTTAGATGTTTTAATTAAAAGAAATCCTAATAACATCTTAGGCCATACTGTATTTCGAAAGAAAACCCATACGTTGTATGGTTTTGTAGTGTAAGTAGATATGATTATTATTGTATACAGATATTTATGTGAATGAGGGTGGTGGCAGTTTTTGTACAGGCTGTCACTTACAGGCCGTTGAACTGCTACTGCGTGTCTCATTGTTCCCTGTCCTAAGAAATACCTCAGTAGCGACAGGCTAATAAAAATCGTATTTACGCGTGTTAATGAAGTGAAAAATAAAAAGAAATAAAAATAAAAATGTCAATCGGCAAGT